CAAGAATTATCTAATTTAGGAGTATTTTTAAAAAAATCATAACTCACTCTTTATGAGTCCAAAATTGGAAAACTTGGTACCATTGGAAACTACTTCCAAAGTGCTAAAAGTTCCTAGAAGACATTTTTCCATGATTCCAAATGGAAGACATTCAATTTTTGGCTTCAAGTTGCTGTTTTGGGTTATCAAGACAGTTTTGAGGTTGATTTTTGGCCAATTTTGAAAATTCAGCAAAATTCACACAATGTGAAATAGCCTTACAAATTTGAAACTTAATTAGAGTTATAATCAAAGTTTAAAATACAACAAGCAAAACAAGATTCGGAGTTTTAAGCACTAAGATATGGTGACTCAAAGTTGCTTAAAAATGAAGACTGTTGGCCAATTTTCCAGATTTGAATAGCAAACTTTGGCACATCATTTGTATATCGAAATGATCTTTGATGGACACCAAAATTAGTAAAATTCTACTTCCATATGAGGACTACTCTTTTATCAAATTTCACTTTAAAATTCACAAGGAAAGATAGTTTACCAAACTACCAAAGTTCAAGAAAATCTCAAGACCAATCTGTCTTTTGCTTTCTTCTTCTCTTTCAGACATTTTGCTCAATGAAAACAATTCAAATCTGGTTCACTTATAAAACAAAGGTCTAGGAAACATCCAAAATACATTTGGTAGGTTATTAACACCAAGAATTTCGAAACAACAAGTCTCAATCAAGGTTAGGGCATCAACTAGCCAAAAGAGGGTTTTCAATCCTTGAATCAGTTTCGAACATCAGCCACAACTCACTCAATTCAATTTGGAATTGAGCGTGGTTGGTGGCGTTGAAAACTAGATTCATAAAGCTACAATTTCTTAGAAGAAATTATTTTCAAAATCTATCCACAGCTAGCTCATATTTGAGCATCAATTCGCTGCTCAAAACAGAGCTCCCAGGGTAGACGCGAAACAGGACAGTCATGTTCAAACTATTGGTATGGACTACTTAGGTGGAATCAGAATGTGTATTTTATACCATTGGAAAGCTGAGAATGTCTAGTTTCCAGTTCCACAAACGGCACTCAATTTTGACGTCGGAGAAAAAAGTTATAGCTGTTTGAAAAGCACCAGTGTAATACAGAAAAAATTCCAGTTTTGGATGAACTTTTGAAATCACCACATTTGGCCAACCAAATCACGTAATTTTTTGATAAAACTTTCTACAAAACCCACACAACATGTATACATCATAAATAAGTCATTAGAACCACAAAAATTTGCTCTAAGGGCCACGGCATGTATAGGGGCAGAAATGGAAAAATTTCCTTCTTCACTTCCTTTGAGTTTCTATCCAAAATATCACACATTTCTACTAATTTAAATACTAATCCAACATTAATACCATCAAAACTCATCACATCAGTATATCCAACCATAGTAGAAGTTCATAGAGCCCACACACCAAATTTTCAACATGAATCAAGCTACCCACATGAATATATATGCTTATACGTGCAATATAACTTCCATAAAGCAAGATTTGAGGGGTTGATCGTTCATTACCTTCTTAGATGATCAAGGCAAAAATTTTCGGTCCAATGAAGCTCAAGAAAATCATGCAAATGAAGCCCCTTTCCTAGCATGAGATGCTCTCCAAGTGATTAGCAAAGTGCGGTTAAAGTTTGAGATGATTTGGTGGAGGATTGAAGCAAGATTTGATGAAGAAAAATGAAGAACTTTAGTTGTTCTTCAAGCTTAGGATGGCCGGCTGTCTTGGAGCAAAAGAGAGAGAGTGTGTGATGCAAATAAAGCTTCCAAGAGAAGCTAAAATGTCTGGCTCAAAATTGTGCAAAAGTCAACTCTCTCTCCTGCTCGCACGCGCGCGTTTTGTACTCGATTCCTCTCGAATTTGTTGCACTAGTGCACTAAACCTATGCACTTACATTCATATCATTATTATTCACTCTTAATGGTCTAAAAACAAAGGTCTAAAGTTTCTCAATTAATCGCGCGCGTAAAAACGAGTACTTGTGATTTGTGTGCGATAAAGTGAAATTTTCAATAAATTCTTATAACGATAGTATAACTAACTATCACTTGAGTACTTAAACATAAAAATATCTATTTCAAGACTAATGTACAAGTCTCCAATTTTTTAAATTTATTGTATTCTCGAATCGATTATTATTTCCAAACGTGCATCCACTATTCACTCTAATCAAGCTTTCAAAAATAAATTTTCGAATCAAGGTACTTTTAAAATACTTGTAGGTCATAGTTCCATCTAATTGAGTATAAAGAGGTTAGAATAAAATATTCAGAAAAAACGGGTGAGTAAATAATTAATTAAACCAGTAAAATGAAATAAAAAAGTTCGGGTCCTCACAGGAAAAGTTCTGTATTTTTTTTTTTGAGTGAACGACCATAAAGTTCACTAAACTACTAAATATGGCACGGGTCAGTCATCAAACTTTTTTTGTGACCACAAAAGTCATTAAACTGGCAAAAAAGAGCCACTAAGGTCATTTTGTCAAATTTTACCAATAAAACAACCGATGAATCATTGAAATTCAACGACCTTTTTGGTAAAATGAGTTTTGACAGTCGGTTATTATACCGATAAATTTTGGCAAAATTACCTTGGTGGCCTATTTTTGTCAATTTAGTGACCTTTGTAGACACAAAAAAGGTTGGGTAAATTCCCTTTTGACCCCCTAAACTATACCCTGTTTCCCACTTCAATTCTTAAACATCTAAATGGGACACTTAAGTCCCCAAACTACTGAATCCGTCCCAATTAAGTATAACTATTGACGGACTCGACAGAATCATTAGGGTTTTCTGAGCGTGCAAAACAAACGCCACTAACCAAGGGCAGGGATGGAAATTCAGAGAAAAGATATAAAAAGAAATAACCATATTTAGCACAAAGGAGGGAAACTTTCCCTCCTTTTATCAAGCACAATCGGGGTCAAATAATTGACCCAATCCAATTCATAAAAAGGACGGATTGTGCCCTAATTACCGAAATGAGGGGTAAGAACTTCTTAGTCGAAAGCTGGCGGAAATCTGAAGATAACAAAGAAGACAAAGGAGAGATGGTTAGTGACACATGTAACTGTGGAAAACAAGCATTGATGATGACATCATAGACTGATTTAAACCCAAGAAGAAGGTTTTGTCGATGTCCAAATTACAGGGTGATTCCATTTCCATTATATCTGTTTGCATTTCTTCCCCTATGGTTTTGATTTGTATGCAATGCACCTAAGTAAACTTGTATTTACTCTGTCAATGGTGTTGTTAATGCAGGAATCGGAGGGATGCAGGTATTGGAATTGGGTGGATCCTGAGATGTGTCGAAGGTCGAAGGATATAATCCCTGGACTGATAAGAACAAAAAACAAATTGGAGGTTGAGATTGAGAGGTTGCAAGAGAACTCAAAGTTGCAGGAAGCAAAACTCAGAAAGTTGTTCACTGGGTTGTTGCTGTTGTATGGATCCTTTTGTTCAACTTTGGGCCATAAAGGTCATCATTAGAGTTTGACAAGAAAATGTTCATCTATGTGGGAAAAGAAGCAATGCTGTAGTAGAGGGAAAATGGTGCTATGTAATTGGGATGGAAAAGATGTAATTTTGTCTCTCTGTATAAGCTGCGGTTTTTGGTGTAATGTAGCTATGCTTGAAGAAGCAGTAGGGACTGACATGCTCTTTTGTTTGAACTTTAGGGATCTAAGTGTCCCTATGTAATGAAGTGTTGTTTATAAATCATCCGTTTTATGTAGTTGAGGGACTAAAGTGTCCCAACTTATTGAACTACTTTTGTCAGTGGATGATACACCTGTAAACAATTGTAACACCATCAACTGTTTGACACAATAAATGCAATTGAAAATGGACTGAATTTGATCATTTAAGAAGAAAGCATGTTTAGCCTTACACCAAAAGACCAGAAGTTTCACAAATTTACAAAACAACAGTTGAAATTTCTTGGCCTTAACAACATCATTTGCCATTTACAAAACATCAGCTCCCTACAAAGCAACAAAAATTCACAAAACTCAGCTAAACATAGAGCTGCACATTGCCATTTACAAAACACAACTATTTTGGAGGCTGATTTAAATTTCCTAACTTTGCAGCTTTATTTGCATTCCCATGGAACTGTACATTGGCAATGGTAGTTGAATGATTCACGTGACCTGCTGCTGCCTGTAATGTAGACAGATTTACACACATGTTTCCCCTCCAAGTGAAGGGGGTTGGTTGAAGTCGTCCGGTGACAAGGCTAGTTGAACCAAGCTCTTCTGTCTGCCTAGCATCAATGTATGAGTCTGGTGGTTTCATTGTTATCCCTGGACTGTGTGAATAAAATTTGTCACCAGTATTGGAGTTCAGCTACATGTCACGAGATAAGTAGTAGTTAATAGGAGAGTGAACATTTTCGCATCTCACACAGCATAAAAACTGAAATTTCAAAGCACTTACATGTCCAGATTCAGTATTGTTTAAAGCTGTCTCATATGGGTTAATCAGAGAATCAGTTGCAGCTCTGTTGAGTCCAAGTTCTCCAATCATGTCCAGTGAGTTTCTAAAGGTCCATTGCCTCAGCATGCAACCTTTTTTTGAATGACCAGGTTTCCAGCAAAATGAGCATTTTCTTGTGCCCTTGACTGGTTGTTCTCCACCAATTTTCTGTTGAGTCTGACTTTGAGGAGCAGCCGCGCAGCTCTCTTGTGTACTTAAGTGAGTGACATTAGAAGTAGTTGGACCTGTACTGGTATGCCTTGTTTCATTTCTGATGGCATCTATTTGTTGTGTGCTGGTCCCACTAGTTTCCTTATTCATATACCCATCTCCTCCCTTTTCTACTGGAGCAGTTTCCTGATTTTTTTTAAGGCAGCTCCTCCTATTATGGCCATATTTCTTGCACAGACTACAGCTCATCTTAGTGCTAACCTTGCTAACTTTGTGAAGTTTAAATGGATTCACATATGACTGTCTGTTCCTATCTTCATCTGGTCCCTTTTTCCTCGCCTTTTGTTGGCCTTCCAGGTGTTTTCCTATATTTTGGAGGCTTCATTGGTGGTAAATCTACTGGGACCCACAGATTAGGTCTATAGATTGGATTCAACATAGGTTCATAACTCTTCATGTATGTACTCTTCCAGTAGATGGGTGCCACATTTTTTTCTGGCTTGTCACGTCTCTTATAAATAGCAGCCACTGCATGACCATATGGGGTTCCCCTCAGTTGCCATTTTCTACAAGTGCAGGTCTTGCTCCCCAAATCAACGACAAACTGGTCACCAAAAGGATAACATATCTGATACTTCATTGTGCCAGCGTAATAGCAGATGCATATGCATTGCTCTTTCTTGGCCTTCTCAAGAATGTCAAAAATTGCTGGACATAAGAGACCTGACAAATAAAAGGACAAATTAGATATTGAACATAGGGTAACTAGAAAGAAATGCTGATAAAAAACAGTAAGCAAGTAGCTTAACCTTCATGTTTGGACGTTGTCTCTCAATTCTTCTCCATTCTCTTCAACAAATATAAGTAAATAGTTTGCAACATGCCTATGATAGGCAGTGATCGTGCCTTTAAAATAACTGAATTAAAAGATTCACACATATTATTAACCAGTATATTGCAATCCAATCCAATCTTGAAATGAGCCATTGACCAAGTATTGGGGTCCTTTTCATCCAACCATGCATATGCATCCTTTGATTCTTGATTCATTATCTCCATTTTTGCTTTGAATTGAGTCATATATGAAACCCTTGCACATCTCCAAAGCCTGTCTTTAAGAGCAAGACCTCTATGCATTTGCTTGAAGTTAGTGTAAAGGTGTTGGACACAATACCTATGCTCAGCTTGTGGAAGTTTGTCTCTAACAGCCTGAAGTAGACCCTGTGCAACACAGCACAACAATCACATATGCCACATTAATATTAATAGTATAACATAAATAGTTAATAGATAACAAATTAATAAATACTACCTTTTGTTTGTCAGTCATAATGCACCAGCAACTAGAGTCTTCAATTTTTAAATCTTGTACAAGCAATCCTAAAAACCAATTCCAGTTATCATAATTCTCTGCCCCAACAACTGACATTGCCAAGGGAAACATTTTGTTATCATCGTCCATTCCAACTGCTGACAAAAGCTGCCCACCATATGGACCTTTTAGGAAGCAACCATCTAACCCAATCCACTTTCTACAACCAGCTAAAAAATCTCTCTTTATTGGTTCTAAGCACATATACAGCTTTCTAAACCTAGAAACACCATCTTCATCTATATCAATCTCAATAAACACAGTAAATCCCGGATTTGCCCTCCTCAATTCACCACAAAATGATTCCAACATGGTGTACTGTTTGTCATAGGACCCCTGAATAGTGTCTCTAACTTTTCTAAGTGTTCTATACTCTTGCTTAAGGCTGAAATCAACATTTAACTCCTCATTTACTTTGGTCATCAACTCATGCACTGTCATAGATGGCGTTTTCCTTACTTTATCAACAAATAGTTTGCTAGCCAACCTAGATATCATGTTTTTATTGTGGAACACTCTTTCACAAGTGTGCTCATCACTAACTATTTTTATCTGAAAGGTATTTTCATCTTGCATTTTAGATCCAAATAGCTGCCAGTCACAACTTCTGTATTTCACTTTCACCCTCCGTGTATCATTTTTCTTGAAATACACATCTCTCCCATCCATAATTGCTTGGATTCTTACAGCCAACCGGAATATAATGACTGATGTGAACTTCAGACCAATTTCAAACTTTGATTTCTTCATGTCTGTTTGCTCATTAAAAACTGAAAATCTAGGCCTCCTTGTCTTATTATTCCCATCTTCATTGGATTGACTTTGACTCTTCAATTCAAATGAACCATCCGAGTCATATTTGGATTCAATGTCATCAATGTTAATCATATCCGGGTCATCACAGCAGTTAATTTTAATGGGTGGGTCTCTTTTCCTTCCTGCTTCTTCTTTCTTTGCTCACTGCAATGAGAAGGATCAGGTTTATTGCAATGCGAAGGGCCAGCTGAATGTTCACCTAGGTCTCCTCCAAATGTTTGACCAATTTTGATGGCTCCATCTAATATGTTATTGTCTCTCCCTTGATCCTCATAGTCTGAATCTGCCATCTTCTCATCAACAGTGACTCCATTTTCTTCTTCTTCTTGTCTGGCAGTATCACATTCTGTTTCCCCTATACCACCTTTATTGCTGACTGTGTTTTGTGCATTTTCATTACAATTTTTACTTTGGTCATCTTCTTCTCTGACTTGTGCATTTGAAGCTTCATCATAGCCTTCAACATCTTTTGGTTCCTTTGCAGCATCACTCCTATTATCAGCTTTCTTTTCTATCAAATTTTCAGTTTCAGTCGCTTTGCTATTCACGTCTTCATGTTTTGCTTCATCTTCAGCAGCAACACTATAAAATTCCTCACTTTTTGGTTCAACATCAGCACTTTTTGTGTACTTGCCTGCAGTTTTTGGTGCTACTTCAATACTTTTTGGTTCAACATCAAGACCTTTTGCTTGCTTGTCTGTAGTTTCTGGTGCTACTTCTGACCCAGTACTACTGTCTAAACCTTTAGAAAACAGATTCGGTATTCTAGATGTCCAGTTGCTACTGCACACTTTTGTAGTGTCTAAATTTGCTGGTTCAATGTCAACATTTTCTCTACCATCTTGTTTCACTTCATCAGTGTCTATACTCTTGTCTATGATTATAATATCACTGTCTCTATCCATTTCGGCTTCATCTCCCTTAGCTTGACTACAGGGTGTTACAGCCTGTGAACAACCTTCTGACAAAACTCTAAGAAACACTTCTGCCACCCTATGTGGTAGTAATATGTTCACCATCATCTCACAATCCCTATCACACATACAAAAGACCAAGCCTGTATCCAATGTCATCCCTGGTAGCAGATAATACCACCTAAAACGATCTTCTGCATCATACCCAAGGCAGACTCCACATTTGTCTAGAGCTACTAATGACCACATTTTTGGGTTGCATCTATCTATAAAATCAACCCGTCCCCCTATATACTGTTTGTTAGGAGAGTCAGTGAAGGTCCCTTGATGGTGTATCTTTAAGGAGAAAGGTTCAGGCCAAATTCCACTATCACCATTTCCTGGTTCAAAGAAAAAAAATTTTAATTCAATAATTAATTTTTTTACACCTTTTATAGTGGATCGGGGACCACAATGTCTGAAATACAGGGAACATTACGGTTTGGACAGCATAAACATTGCCTTAAAAAATACCCCAAATCATCAAATTGCCCATACATTCGACATTAAACAATTTTGTCTACCATAATTTATCACAAACAGGGTATAACATACAGCGGTCAATTTGGCCCTTTTTACATTACACAATATCACTACAAAACCTAACCGACAACACAGCACAATAAGCCAACTACTATATACGCTATTATCCAACATGCACACAATGACATTTTAATATCATTTCTCTTGTCGGGAGCGGTGCTTCTCTTCTTGTTCTTCACTTGTGACCTCATTTCTCCATCAGCCCTCTTCAATGTCGATCTTGACTTTCCTATTTTACAATGCCAGTCACCTCTAACTCACGGTCACAAGAATGTCAAGGGTATAGAGATTAGTAGAAATCTGCTAACTTCGTTCACACCCACACACACACTCTCTCTCTCTCTGTTCAAATCCACGGTGAAGATGATAGAAACAAAGCTGTTTCCCTCTATTTTCTTTTCCCCTTATACCTAACGGGCAAAATTACAATTATGTCCTGGCTATTTTAGTTTTCATGGAGTATCTAGTCTCACTAACGGCGCTTGTTTTGCACGCTCGGAAAACCCTGATGATTCTGTCGAGTCCGTCAATGGTTATACTTAATTGGGACGGATTCAGTAGTTTGGGGATTTAAATATCCCATTTAGAAGTTTAGGAATTGAAGTGGGAAACAGGGTATAGTTTAAGGGGTCAAAAGGGAATTTACCCAAAAAGGTTTAATGAACCATATTTAATAATTGAAAAAGAAAAGTCCGTGAGTAATTTCCTTTTAATTATACCACATTTATTGATTTTTGGCAAACCATACCAATTCAGTTTAAATTCAATTTAGTAAAATTATGTACTTGTTAAAAGCCCTATTCTAACTCTTATATTAGTTCAAAGTAATACTTTTTGGATAGCTAATTTTTGGATAGTTCAAAGTTATATTAATGGACGTGTTTGGATAGCTAAGTTATTCTAAATAATATTTCGCTTGCATCATAAACACATTTTTCAACTCATTTTTTTATATTCTCAATTATCTTTTAATCTCATATATATCACATTACGAAAAATGTTACAATAATTATTTCAAATAATATCTCAAATAATTCTCTATCCAAATACGATGGAAGAGTTCTTGTATTTTTTCCCCCTCTTGTTGAAGATTGTCTATAATTCTTTTGCTTTATAAGAACAGTCAATCTAGTTAATGGCATTTTTAAGAAATTCCACACAACGTACACTTCAAGTTTGAAGACGGACCAGAAAAGCGGTGTTGCGAGTCTTCAAGTTTTGAGTTAATGGCATTTCTAAGAAATTTCACACAACAATTCTAGCGGAAGACGGATCTTTGGCTTTCGAAAGCGGAATCAAATCAATTCCAAGTCATACACAATAAAACGCGTATGTCATGGTGCTTGTTTAACTCTCCATGTGTTGTAGTCTTTAAATCCAGACTATCCCTGAATATTCAAGTTGTTCTTTCTTCTTTCTTTTTAATCTCCTAAATTGACAAGCTAAGTCTTGTAATCTACAATTTATGATTTTTTTTTTGTTTTTAGAAATCTGCCCTTAGAATTTAGCATTTACTCTTTAGCATAAAGAGTGCAATGACTAGATTTGATTACCATGTGAGGATCATGGAGCATGTTTTAAATTTATTTAAAAAAAAAAGGTTGCGAGTATTTCCTTTTTAACTGTACAACTATTGTTGAATTTGGGCAAAATTTACCAATTTAGTTGAAGTTGAATTTAGTATTTGCGCTTGTTAAAAGTCCTATTCTAACTCTTATATTAGCTCAAAGTTATAATGGGAGAGTTTTTTTTTTTCCCCCTTTTTGCTCTTATTGACGATTGTCTACAATTCTTTTGATGTATAAGGATAGTCAATATCTAAAAGCAACATCACAGATTGTCTAAACTATGAGTTTTTTTTTTCGACAGAGGGATATCCGGACCTTGGGCCCGACTAATCCCCTGTGATCCGAGAGGAGAGACTCATTCCTCTCGAACACGTTGACCCCGGACTCGATCCTTGATGGCCATATTCAAAAGAGGAGTAACACACCACACCAGTTACCCGGGTTGGGCTGTCTACACTTCGAGTTTGAAGATGTATGGACATTGACTCTTAAAAGTAATCAATTAATCAAGACACAAACACTACATTGCGTGACTTCCAAATCAAACCGCGTGCTTTAACTATCCATATCACTGTCACTGATTTTAAATGCAGAGTCTTTCAATCCGGACTACTGTACTTAGAGTGCTGATACATTTCATCTACCTTATGGTCTTACATTTATTTTTGATGTGCGAACTTTAAATGTTTAGTCCTACGGGCGGCCTGATGTTCCCTGATGTATTGTAAGGCTTGTAGTATCGGTAAGGTTTTGATCATGGTTTGTAGTTTAACCATGAGTTTAACTTGAAGGCATGATACCAAAAGAGATTGTAGAATCTCTCACAATTATACTAGCATAAGTTTACAATGTGTTATAGATTTTCAGAATAGCTAAATGTCTACAATGAGTAGACCACTTTATTCGATGTTAAAACAATTTAAAGAAGAATTATCTACAATTTGTTTTTAATTGCAATAATTATAAGGTCATCTAATGGTATAAACTAACATAATGATTAAAACTATACATAAAAATTATATAAAAGTGCACAATAATAAATTATGCATTGAGTGCTAGATGTATATTTTCATATACGCAATAGGCAAATAATGTATACACAATTTAACTATCAAATGAATGTTTAGTTAACTTGTAATTCATAAGGTTAAGAAAAGTTTAATGTTACGTGCATAAGATTTGTTAGAAAGAAAATAAAAATAGCATTGTGTAATAAATTTTATTTTAATGTTGCATCGGAGAAATGATGGTGATAACTGTATAAAATTTTAAAACTTTTGCGAGGCAATTGTGGGGTTAGAGGAAATATTACCAAATTTCAAGGGGTGCAAAAGTGAGGCAACAATAGAAGAACCTTTTTATGGACTATTCTAAAATTTCTAAAAAATTGAGAAGGTGCAATTGCGCTGGCTATGGCTCCACCAATATATATATATATATATATATATATATATATATTCTCATATTTTGCCGAGTGGATTTTCGTCTTTTTACCATGTGGCAAAACAAATTATAAATAAATTTTTTTTAATTTTTTTGTGGATTTTATTTTTGTCTTTTTTTCTTCGCAACCAATCTATTAATTACTTGCAGTATATAAGTTTGTATGTTTGTACCTTCTTTATTTTTTTTTTGTTAATCAACTCATATCTTTTCTCTTTTTAATCCTCTTCAAGTACATTTTCTATTTTTATTATTGGTTTGATCATTCATCATCATTAATTTGGACAAATTATGCCACGTCAATGTTGACGTAATAGTATCTATTTTCTCTCTTTACCTTCCTATCTAATAATTCTTTTTTCTTCTAATAATTCTTATTCTAATAATAATAATGTTATTTAATAGATTTCCTAAAATTATTTCATCATTTGTCTTTTGTTATCTATAGCATATATGTCTTGCATATTTCACAAGGAAGTTTTTGATTGATGGTCAAGTCAAGTGTTCTCCAATTTTCTTATTAATCAACCCTGAATCTCTCTTAATTAATTTTCTCAATTAATTG